TTCAGGTTCTTGACTTTCAATGTTTGTTTATAAATAGAAAATCTTTGTTTCTATAAAGTTCAATCATTCTTTCTCTTAATTTCTGGTTGCCTCTTTTCATCCATAACTTCTTTCCTTGAATTCTTTGATTATTTTATTGTCCTTTCGTCAGACACTAAAATACACGTTTAGAGAAAAATATAATGATAAGTGATTTTAAAAGTGAAAAATAAGTGAAAATCTCTACTTTATTTAAAATTAATTTATTCTATTAATATTGAACATTTAATATTTGTTTAATACTATATATAGTTAACTTTTTCATTGTAGTTCTTTGGATTTCATCACCCTGAAAGATGAGTGTAAGTAGTAGCAATTTGGACACATCAAACTTTCATCAAGCCCTATATTTCCCCTTCACTCACACATTTTAGTAATCCCTTTCACACACACCATTGTTAACAATACAGACTTGCTCTCTTACTACAGTTTTAGGGGTAAAATTTTAAGGGATGTCTTTTCAATGGCACCTTAGAGTATGTGACTTCTGGAGCTTTAGTACTTTCATTCAGCGTAATCAATTTGAGATTCAAGTCAGTTTCAGGAGACAATGGCTCTTTTATTCCTGGGTTATTACTGCTTGTATTCTTAGGCTGGTTATCCCCAGCATCAGTCTGTCCAGCATACAAGTGATATATAGTCAGTCATTATGAGCCGAGTTGTAAGTTTCTGTGTCCTGTCTTTCATGTAATCATAGTTTTTGTGCCATCTCCTTCAATGAAACTGATGAATTTCTCGGATAGCTATATGAGTAACGACACAGCCAAACTTGGTTTTCCTTCCCAGACTCACTGTTCCAGTTTACAATCTGCCTCATTTCAAAGTGGCATTCATTTGTCTTTTGTGTTATGACTATGGCCTCTTATTTAATCCTGGCTCAAAACTGTCATTTCTTTTCTTTTTTTTTTTACCAAATGCTACACAGATCAGGGTTTTAAGTAGAATAAATAATTCATTTATAGTTAAAATTCTATAAGATGTCCTATTAAAATTTGTGTTTTAAGTACTATTAATTGTTCTATTGTCTATGGCAGAAAATATCTTTACATTTAAAAATAACTAATTGGCTACATTTGCATGACTCTACTTTTAGACATAGATTCTGTCCCACTGGCCGATTTATTCTTTTACCAGCACCATGCTTTCCTGATGTTTGTAAGTCCAGAACACAGTAATGTCTGTACTTTTCTGAACTAACTTGGTCTGTATCAGTACTGTTTATATATTTTACTGTTCATGTCTTTGTACAGATTTTGCTAACAAACTTTTAGTTATATGAAAGGATTTTAACCCCATATAAGAGATAATGCATTATGGCACAGTCTGTTATTTTACTGGTAACATTGCATTGAACTACAAAAATAAGACACTTAACTCACTTTTATTCCATATTAATCATTATATATTTCTCAACTTTAATAATTTATACTTTAAATTGCTGCAAGCATGAGTACACGTAATTGCTTTTTAAAAGCACTAAGTTCGATAAACATTTGAGTAGTTATCAATTTTCAAAATTAAAATTATTTTCGTAGCTTTTATTGTAAAATTATAATTGTAATAAAAAGATCTTAAAACATACTTATATTCAAATACAATGCATAAATTATGCAAAGCAGATTAACTATATTGTAATGATGACTATATCACAAAAATGTTTACTTTTTTGTCACTAAAATATCAGGATGAGCTTTTGGATACACCCTCAGAGCTCTAAAGACCTTAATAATGAAAAGTGAGGACTTTGTGATGTCCTGAGGTCTACTGAGAGCATGATAAATATGGTTGATAACAATATGCTATATTTTAAAAGTTGTGAGATAGTATACTTTAAGTGTTCTCAAAACAAAAATGATGAATATGTGTGATATAACATGTTAATTGGTTTAATTTAGCCATGCCATTGTGAACATACTGTATTATGTATCATAATTGTGCATGACTTTATTTATGAACTAAATAAATGAATGGAAAATAAAAGAAAAGAAAAAATAAAAGTGAACAATTTTGTACTTTCTGCTAATGCTCTCTTTTATTTTGTGTGCAGAATTATAATACCTCACAGATTTATGGGAACGGATAGTTGCGAATACTATGTAACATGTAAAGGAGCTCAATGGTATAATGAATCCAATAAGTCTTGCTTACTATTATTTTTCTCAAGTTGTATCTATTTTATGGTTTTGTTATGAATAAAATGACAAAGAAGGGGTTTCAAAATGTTCACCAAGTGTAACAGAAAGTACTCATGCCTTGGATATTTAGTTTTTCATCCCTTGAAATCTTGTTCATATCGGAGATAAAGGAAGTCACTTTAAATTTGCCTTGAATGTAAACCTTTCAATCTCTGACAGTCTTCATTTTGCAGCAAAGATAAATGAAGGGGCAGAAATTGTAATGTAACGTCAATCGTTTTATCACTGTCAACTGAAAACAAAATCATTTACTTAGGATTTGTTGAAAGTGTAATTAATTATATTATTTTAGCTTGCCTACTAATAGCTCATTGCTAAAATGTGTTCCAATATCAGTCTGTGTATCATATAAGGTGGCATACATACGATTTTATGTCAAATAGAATTCAAATGTTTGTTTTCTAAATTTGCCCTTTATTCAATTTAATTAATTTAATGAATATTCTTAATATTCAGTTTTCATTTGAATGAAACAGTAGTTATTAATTTTTAGTTTCTCCACTCATGTGAGGCAATATTATAGAACTGACAAGGCATATGTAAAAGTAGTTAATCACTAGAAGGAATAAATTTTCTCCATAGAATGCTCTCGGCTAAACATTCACTTCACTTTCCAAATTCTGTTTAATTTCATTACGTTCAAAGGGAATCCATTTATTAAAAGTTCACTATAATACGGTTGAGTCAGAGTATTACTGGAAAATAAGAACATGTCCTTACTTAAACTTCCATTGAAGCCTCTTTCTGCTTTTAAGAGAGGAGGGGGGAAATAGGAGTTGAGGGAGGGGAAAATGCAGTTGCTATGCATTGTATAAGAGAAGAATAAATAATAATTATTATTATTATAATAATAATAATGAAAATTTCTACTGCCACTCATACCATATCTTCAGATTATCCTCCCAGGTGATGGTTGGTTACGCTGCAGACACCATGCAACTCTACTTGGTAAAGGCTACAGTTCTGCCCCTTCCATTATAAAGCCCCTGACCCCACCCAGAGGAGTTTCAGTCTCCACCCATGACACCCATACCTGGGGTTCTCAGAGAAGGGCATTTTAGAAGCAAGAAGACTAATGGTGTCTTTCTGATCTCTAGTGACATTACTGGTTGAACTGTCAAGATCAAGTCCTCTTTTCTCCTGTGAGGTAGACAGGAAATCTTTGGCATGGAGTCATGGGGTACATCTTGAGCTCAGGAAGGGGATTGGATCTGAAACCCTTCTCAGGACTCTGTCAAAATCTTTCAACATTTTATAAAATTAGTGGAGAGACAAACAATGAGTGAGAGACCTCTGTCCTCACTGGAAGAAGTTACCTGATTCCAATCCAATGCTCTCTGAACAATCTCAGAGTCAGAGTCCAAGGGATTTCTTCCTATTAACTGCACTCCCGTCACCCATGAAGAAAAGAGAAATCTAGGAATACATTGGGTGTGTGCTTGATTGTATACCTGATACAGAACACACATTCACTCCACTGAATAACACACACACACACACACACACACACACACAATAAACACATATACTAAACCATTTCATTTCATTCAACACATAAACTATTAGATGAAAGGTTACACATCTCTTAGGAGCCATTTGAAATTCTGACAAGTTAAAAAGTAATAAAGATATTCTTGTATCTCTCTTAAGCTTTGTCGGCTGTGAATGGAAACATTGGTAATTTTTCTGTTTGGTAGTGGATTGGTTTCCTTTTTCTCAGAACAGAATCTGGTCCATATTAATGGATTTTGTCATGTGTACACAGCAGCATTTCTTCAAATCCATGTTTTCTTAAGTTTGAGATGATTTATTGGCTGTTATGTTTCTGTATAGAATTGAATTTTAATATTAAAGGTACATAATGAGTTGATTCTCTGCACTATCTGTCATCTTTAATATAAAAATATTTAATTGTTATATATTAAAAATCTGGACTACTTAGTGGCACATTTTGCAAAACATGAATAATTTTACTTAAGTTTCTGAAACAAAATAAAACTAAGCTTGACATATTGTACAACTTTGCTTTCTAAATGAAACAAAGCTATTTTGAACACATGTCTCTGTGTATTTTTAGATTTAGAAATGTTTCTTGAGATGGCCTCAGTCTCTTCTACCCAATATGCTTAGTTCAGAGTGATCTCTTTCTTGGCTTTCTCTTTTCATTTTTAGAATTCATATGCACCTGTTTCAAATCATGTTGCTGTTCTTTCCTGTTATCTCCAACCAGGTCCCATTTGGAGCTTGACATCATACTTGTTCCCTGCATTTCTTATCATTAACCACCTGCACTATATTTTCTGTAGGTATGGAGTTTCATCTGAAATTTCAGAGGGCTACAACATTTTACTACTGTAATCAACTGTCTCTTTTTCTCCCACCCTTTCTTTTGGATCTCCATTTATTCTCTCCTGCCTCCATTATTTTTACTTTCTGCTAACAACTTTGTCAATACAGTTGGGAACTTACTATTTAACTATATATGCCATTTCATAGAAAAAATGTGTTGTGGGCATTTATCTAAATTTTGTTTTATGAAACATTGACTTTAAGTCTAATATAAATCATAGGAATTCTGTGGTTATTTAAAGAGATACAGAATAACCCCATTAGGGTAATAGATACTTAGGTATATAGCTCATTAATTTTTATCAAATTTGTATATTTAGGTATCCCTAATTATTTAACATATGCAGTTTACAAATTACTTAAAATTTTATTTTGGTCCCATTGCAGCTATCCCAGGATTATTACTGTAACTAGTTTAGGCAACTACGTTGCTGCTTTCATTCATGGTTAACTGTATTAGCTTTTCCAGAATCTCATCAATGGAGTTGCAGAGGTGTTAATTTGTGTCTGGCTTCCTTCAATCAGAATCTCATTTTTGAGAATTATTCGTATTTGAAGAATCAACAGCTCATTAACCTTTATTATTTATCAGGAATCCAGATGGCAGACATGATGTTTATGTATAGGTGACTACCAAGGCCTGAAGAGGGCTTTGAACTCCATTAAAGCCATAGTCACAAGTAGTTGGGAGCTTCTGACATTGCTTCTAGAAATTCAATCATGCTCTTCTGCAAATGCAGCAAGTGTTCTAACCAGTCCAGCAATCTATCCAGGCCTGTTACCTGTATTTTTTAAAAGGCTGTTATTTTCGGTAAAGATTGTATTTACTGTATGAAGAAAGATATTTTTCAGCAGGGTACATTATATCTATCTATGCATTAAGAAATCTAAAACATTCATCTATTACTTTAATGACTACACAGATGAATACATGGGTGGCAGTCAGATCTGCTTGTAGATCTTAATGCAGGTTCATGAGATCTTATCTAGGCCTGGTAAATTTATTATTTTTCTTTTTTTTTTTACTTAATTAGAAACAAGCTTGATATACATGTCAATCCCAGTTCCCTCTCCTTCCCTTCCTCCCCTGCCCCCCCAGCCCGCCACTCCTATTCCCTTTCAGCTAACCAGGGATGATGAGGCCTTCAATGAAGTATCTTTAAAGTCTATCACATCATTTGGAGCAGAGCATAGGCTCTCCCTGGGCTGTCTAAGCTGAAAGAATATCCCTCTATGGGGAATGGGCTCCCAAAGTCCATTCACATACTAGGAATAAATACTGATCCACTACAAGAGGCCCCATAGATTGCCCAGAACTAAAAACTGACCTCCGTATTTAGGGGGGTCTGGAATTATGCTGGTCCCCAGCTATCAGTCTGGGGTCTGTGAGTTCCAACTTGTTCATGTCAGCTGTTTCTGTGGGTTTCTCCAGCCTGGTCTTGACTGTTTTGTTCATCACTCCTACCTCTCCAACTGGATGCCAGGAGTTCAGGTCAGGGTCTTGCTGTGGGTGTCTATTTCTGCTTCCATCAGCGACTGGATGAAGGCTCTAGGATGGCATATAAGGTAGTCATCAATCTTATTATCTGAGATGGGCATTTAATGTATCCACTCAATTACTGCTTAGAGTATTTGTTAGGATGACCCTTCTAGATCTCTGGACATTTCCCTAGTGCCATATTTCTCTTTAAACCTGTAATGGCTCCCTCTATTATAATATTTCGTTTCTTGCTCTTCTATATTCTTCCCCTGACTCAATCTTCCTGCTCTCTCATGTTCTCCTCTCCCCTTTTCTCCTAATTCTCTTGCCCCTCCTCTCATACTCTCTAACAAAATAAAATATCTTGGGGTAACACTAACCAAAATTGAGAAACACCTGTATAGTAACAACTTTGAGTCTTTAAAGAAAGAAATTAAAGAATATGCCAGAAAATCTCTGAAGGATCTCTGAATTGTTACTTAAACCCGTTGTAAATGAATCATGGTCTATATCCTTGTTTAAAAACAAAGATATGTGCAAGAAATTAATAGAATGAATAAGTATATATAGGAAGATCATGTGAAATATAAGTTAGCTCAAACTGAAAAATCTATTAGTTTATATTTTGGAAGAAAAGAGAATATTTTCATTGACTTAAATGAAACCCCAAATTGCCATCAAGGAATTAATGAAATCACATTCCAAACTGCAAATAATTCATTTAAATGCCTATGTTTGGAAAGGGAACGGAGGGAAAGATGTAAAGAGAAGACTTCACAGGAAGAGGGAAGAGGATGGATGAGAAGGCAAAGATGGAAGATTAAAAAATAAAATAATGGATAGTAGGAAATTATGAGGTAATATTTTCTGAAATTATGGAGCCTGGAAGTCCCTTCGAAGCTGTAGACCCATCATAGCTAGAGTTTTCATTCCATTTTTAGGGTCAGAATACTTGAAACCCAAGAACAGTCATTGTCCAATTTGAGCCTGAAGTTGAGAAAAAATCAGTGTCCCAGTCAGGACTTTTAAACAGTTGAAATACCTTGTTAGTCAAGGAAGGATCTTCCTCTTGATCTACTCAAACAGTTGGGTAGGAACATTACTAAAGCCATACCTGGAAGGAGGTATTTATTCATTCCTTCTTTTATTTATTCACCATTTATTTATTTATTGTTTATTTGCTAATTTATTGGAGTTGTTCATATTTGTTTCTAAGTTAGGATTTTGCTTAACATATGTGCTGACAGTGTAGTCTTATTTTCACTGTCAATAAACCCTAGCTGTGTGTTGTAAATACAAGTTTCTTATCCTGTAATTCTTGGCAAAGTTATGGACCAAGAAAAGACCCCTGGACATCATCAGAGAACACTCTGATTTAGTTAAAAATCTATGAATTTTTGTATGTTTGTCCTGTCTAAAAACAACTTTATAGCACCATTTGAATAAATATCATAGTGTCATAGGAGAGGCAAGCTAAACATAATTACCACCACAGTGCTATGGAAGTAAAATATGAATCATTTTTAATATTTCCTAGCATCTTTGAAAGTTTCTTGAATCCTGAATTTTAAAATCCATTAAGTAAATCTGTCCATTTTGTATAATGAGATACCAGGATGTTATTTTTTGCAAATAAGTATTATTAGTAGTAATATTATTTATGTGAATATTTCTTTGCTCTTCTTATCAAACTCTCTGGTGGTATAATCAACAGTTTCCCTTTGTCTTCATTCAAAATGCTGTAATGTAACTACTGAGTGTCATTAGTAAGGTAATTGTAATCAAATGTTAGTGAACTCTAGGAGCTCCCATTTTGAAATATGTGAAAAGAGCAAATGAATTAATTACTATAATTATTTCAACCTCATGAATTTAAAATTAAAAATAATCTTAAACACTTAATGTAGTGTAAAAGTGAGAATAGCCACACAAAATTACTACTATTATTCTGATCACTATTTTATCTTGTTATAAGTAGAAACCACTCAAAATAAGCTAGCAATAAAAATCTCATCTGTTTGTTCTTAGAACTATATAAACCCAAACGGAGCTTCTCATTCTTTAGGCAAAACAGAATTACACATTGGAAGACACTAAAAGGTAATGTTATCTGAACAACAAGATTACATCTTCAAAGTGATACTAAAACACTTCATAGAAAAAGAAATTCTTGGTAATGGACACTTTATGCAAGATATATCTTGTAATGATGCATTTATTCTCCTACTAGTGACTGAGTTACATAGCCAAGTCTGAGTACAGAGTGGCAGTAGAGCACCATGTCATGGGGGAAAATACAAAACTATTTAGGATGATGATGGGTAAGAGCTCTTTAGACTGACCTTTTGCTAGGATGATGATATTCTCATTAGCAGCAACCCTGCTGTTTGCCCTCAATAAAATATAGCATCCTGCTGTTAATGCAATTTCCAGTTTTTTTTGATTTAATGACACAATTATATTAATGTTATTTTTATAAATGGATTAGGATTTTAAGAAAAAGATTTAAAGATGTTTTTATAAGCAGTCACTATGTCCCCAACACCTAGCTGTATTTTTGAATTTGCTTATTAGATACAGCATGAGGCTGACAAAAAGGCTCATGATAGCCAAATTTTGTTTAATACAATTTAGGAACAGTGATTAAGCTTTCAATTAGAAATATAATGATAAAGGTTATTTTCTTCTTAATATAATCTATAGAATTGACAATTGAATTTTGTTTTTACCCTGAAAACAATCACATTTTTTTTCCAGTTGAGGTAATTTTCTTCCTAATTGAATTGAATACGGCTTTTGCAGGAGTACCCTCATTAAATAATACTTTCTGAAAGAAAATATCTCATCATTATGAGAAAAGCAGGGACTCCAAAATCTGGCAGAACTATGTTTTAATTTTGACTTTACTACTTACTAGATACGTGACCTTGAACATGTTATAGTCTCTCCTGGAACTGATTTAACTTTCTGATCTTATTAAGGCATAAGTGGAAAATTAGATAATGTATATAAATCACATAGCTCTCCATAACTGTTGCCAAACCTTGGGCTCTTTCGCTGAGGTGTCTCATGATTTAATGAGGGGACACAGAGGAAACAGTTCCGCTCATTGAGTCTCTTACCTTGACTTGTCGGATATTTAAATATGGGATTTAATTTTTATGTGAGAGGCTTTTAAGTATGTTTATCCCAACTATGTCTCTAATGTATGTATAGTATACTTTTAACTGTACTAGACAATTTGTTATGAGAAAAAATTAAGCAAAAGCATAAGATGCAATATAAATACCAAGAACAAAGGAATATTTGGGTCATCACAAATGATTTCAGAATCATAAGGATATTAACAAAAGACTCTCTGCTAATAAGCAGCCATACAAACATATTATCTCATGATAACTTCCTATGTCCAGTCTCCATATACTTTCCATGGTCAGTCATAAATCATCTCGCAACACACTCACAGGCAAGCACGCATACACACACACACACACAGACACACACACACACACACACCACACACACACACACACACACACAAACACACACACACACACGCTTTACATTGGCCAATGAGAACCAATTACATGACAGATTATTAATTGTTGAGCAATTGTTTGAGTTTCCTCCTTGTCACACAAGTGGAGAATTGTCAATTACAGGAAGAATAAAGGCTATGCTGACTGAAAATACTGGATGCTATGTAGGGTACAGTACAGCAAAGAAGCTTATTTATGACTTATGGCAAGAACTCTTCTGAAATTTTCAGAAGTAGTGAGGTCCAGATTCTGTAATCTTTTATAGAAAGTAAGGAAGTCCAGTAAATATCTGTTGTTGAGGTTTCATACTAATTTAGTTTCTTAAATTAAATATTACATAATATCACTATTTTAAAAATGGATTATATATATACATATATATATACATATATATATTAGTAAGTTCATCCTTCAATATGTAGATACTTGGTAATAAAATATGTGTTGTGTTTGGATTAAATATTGCAAGAACTTAACACTTCTAAGTCCCTCTAATAATCATACTTTCATTTGTCATTTTGCTACACACTCAAAAATTCACAAATAATTCATATGCAGTTTCCATTTTTGCCAAACACTACCAGCATTCACACTAGACCAGAGGAAGAGTCTTTCACCCTTCTGTGGCTTGCCATGAAGTATGGGGAAAATATGTTTAAACAACCAGAAACTCCCTATCTTAACCATAAAGAATCATATTGATTTTTAAATTTTATTTATTTTTAATGTTTTAAGTTTAAACAGAAATCCATCACTTTATTTTCCCCTTTCCTTTCAGCCTCTCTCTCTCTCTCTCTCAAAGAAAAAGAAGCTATCAACTTAAGAGTGGAGGGCACTGGAGCAGTTGTAGGAAGTTGTTAAGCTTATTTTTCTTTGGTCATTAGTGTTATACATATAAATCAAAAAGAATCATATTCAGAATATAGCCTCCACTTAGCTAATACTATTTTTAAATTGTTCTCTGATATACTAACACCCAGAAGGAAAATAAGAAACTTATTATAATAAAAGGATGTTCGTTGGTGGGCAATCAATAGGTAATTTTGTCTGCTGACCAAAGCTTTGTATTTGTTCTTGCCTCCAGGTATTGAAGTAAAATAGCTATGCACTGAGACAGTAGTTCCCAATATTTATATTATCATTAATCTTTCATTTCAGATCTGCGTACACAATAAAATTGACTTATTTTAATTAATGTATTTAGACATCATTTAGTCTGAGTCACACAAAATGAGCAAATTTAGGATTTTGTTTTCTTTGTCAATTTTCATTTAGATAAATATTATTCTGAAGTTGGTAAAGCTTTAAAGTCCAGTATTTAAAAACATGAAGTTCATGTGACTGGAAAAAAGATGAAATGTGATTCCTAATTGTATTCTATTATACTTTTAGACTGGAGCCCAGCATAATCGTCATCAGAGAAGTTTCATGTTCCAACTGATAGGAGCAGATGCAAATGCTCCACCCAAACATTAGTGAGAGATTTTGAACCCTGCCTAAGAGGGGGAGGAAGGAAAGTGTGATTCAGAGGGTCTCAAGGACACAGCAAAAACATAGCTCATAGAATCAACCAAGCTGGGCTCACAGGGCCCCACAGGGATGAAAGCAACAGTCTGGGTTCTTGTATATGACTGACCTAGGCCCTCTGCATTCACGTTGTGGTTGCATAGTTTGGTGTTCTTGAGGGACTCCTAACAGTGTAAGCATGAGTGTATCTGACTCATTTTACTTGCTTCGGGGGCCCTTTTCCTCATACTAGGGTGCCTTGTAGAGAGCCTTGATATGAGGGTATGTACCTAGTCTTATTGTAAATTTTTGTGCCATGTTTGGTTGATATCCCTGGGAAACCTACCTCTTTCTGAAGGACATATAATGAAGAATGGATCCGGGGTGGGAGAGGTGATTGGGAGGGACTGAGGGGAGAGAAATAAGAGGAAAACATGGCCAAAATGTAATTTATCACAGAAGAATAAAACAATATTTTTTTAAAAAGTACAATTTGGGTTAGAATATGCATAGAGAGGACTCACATGAAGGCTGTGTATAATTTTTATTTTAAGACAGTGCAAATGGTAAAGTGCTTACAGCATTCGCCATGCTACATCTTATGAGACACCCATTATGTAGCAAATTGTTTGACTCTGAAGATTCAGAGATAGAATAATGATGCAAGCAGAAACCTGTAGTAATAACGCGTGCCCTTTAGGAAGACAATCTAAGAACATATAGACAGTGTGGTGATTTTGGGAGAATACTGTGGATATGAGTGAAGAAGATGACAGGAACCTTCTGGGACTCAGTTCACAACTTGTCTGGAGACAGACCAGAAGAAATCATAAAAGTTTATAATGTAATATTGTGTGCCATTCAGAGAAAATAAAAGCATTCAAGAGAGTGAAAAAGATAATTCTGAGGATTCTCAAAAGAGCATAGGCTTAGGTTGATTTCCCCAAGTTCCACTGGGTGTCCCTAGTCACCAATGTAGTGAATGAATAGTTATTAAGGTTATCATTGCTTTTTTTGTTAGTTTAAGCAGAAAAATCTCTAAAGTTCATTAAGTTATGCCACTTTCAAATACAAAAATTTGGTGTACAAAACACAAAATAAAGAGTAACAATAAATGTCTTCTTATAGATTATAGCATACTGTTTAGTATGGGTAGAGAAGTTTAATTCTATCAGGAAAATCACAAATTAGCTTTTATTTCTTATTATAATCAAAGTGGAAATGTCATACTGGATAAGAGACTAAGTTAATTCATTTTAAACATAGCTATTCACACAGAGTACAGGAGGCACACAATGACCATATTCACTGTGAATGAATTATGTTGGAATATAGTCTTTGTCAGAGAGTAGTATTTGATTGTTGAATGCTCTTTATCTAAAAAGAATTGATTTGCATTTAAATGAGCACTCCTTAAGGTAATGATCCCAGTAGATGTTTTATTATTGATGTAAAAGTATTGAGTACCTGTTTTAATGCATATAGTAATAATGGTGTGGCTGAATTAACTGTGGAAATGTTAGGCAATTAAATTAATATATAATTTTAATATTATTTCCTCTACAATTTAATAAATTAATTAAAAGCCCTTAAGGAAGTAATGGACCTTGCATTCCATATTAAGCAATAACAGTTGTTTTTATTGTTTCTGCTTTGGATTGGGTAATTCTATATTTGCCATTTATTGTATCACCTAACTGATATCAAAGCAACTAACTAACTGACTAACGATGAATGAATTCAAATATTTTTCTGTTATCTGGCAACACTTTAACTTATCTAACATGCATTATGTATGCAAGTGGTAGACATAATTCCTTAATCCAAATGAGATGCTAAAATACTATTTTGAATGAATAAGGGAGAACAATTTCAAATAAAAATGACTATAAAATACTTACAATTAGTTAAAATACCATGAAAACGTAGGTGGAGCATCATTCTTTGATCATCATGGAATATTTTCAAACAAATCAATGGCAAGCAAACATCTATTTAATTAAGCTTCTGACTTTTCCATGACAGACTATCGAAAATAATCTAATATTCTTCCAATCTTTCGTTTCTACTGACTTCATTCTGAAAGAGAAACGAATAACCTCCAATAACAGGGAGAAGGGGAGAGAGAGAATTATTACTAGTACCATTGGCATTCTTTCTGATAGGCTACAAGCACCTGTCTCTCACAGTTCTTTTAATATTGTAACATGGCAGTGACTTCTGTAATTAACTTGAATACAATCTGAGGTAGAATTTTCTTTATCTTCTGCTACATTTAGAGCAGGGCGACTGACCATTGACTTAGACTACAAAGAAGTACACGAGTGCTTATTTATATTTCCTTCTGCCAATCCTTTAACCAGGTGTCTAATTTCTTATTAAAGCTTCATACGAAGTTTATTCTTCATGCTCATTTCGGTTGGACTATGTAACCAGAGGGGTGTAAAATATTTCAGTATATTAGTGCTTCTCTTGATTAGGATTATGATTTATGACCCACAGATTGTTTGTGCAATGAAGGTATCTATAACTTATTCCATGGTGGTTTAGTACCCCATGATCATGTTGGTGTTCTTTGGATCTCTTTAAAGGAAATGACTATAAATACTAAGGGCAATCAAAATACAAAAAAGAAATGAAAGTGTTGTGGTATCTGGAAATTGGTTCTTCATTATGAACAAGATTTTCAAAGTGCAATAACCAAACTCATTTCTTTGCATGTTTATATACATAAAAGAACCATAGTTCTCTAATTTAGGAAAATAAGAAAAACTGACAAATAGATTAGGCAATTTGCTAAAACTTAATGGAGCAAACATGCAGCTGATATCTTTGTGATGTAACCTGCTACATTTATCTGCTGTCACAGAGAAGACACCATCTAAACAAATCTAGTCAATAACTGTCATTCCCACTCATACAGGTCCTAGCTTAGGATCCTTATATCTCCCCAAAATGAAAGGCTAGTTTTCACATCAGTTTTGTCAATTTCTAGTAGGGAAGTTCTATCCCATGAAGTGGCTGAGAGGACAGTGCCCCCTTATGAGTATAGCATTCCCTTTTATTACAAAATTAGTAATGTCTAAAGATAAATTTTGTGCATGTGACTCATGCCACTGTGTCAAGGACACAGGTTATGTTCGGGTCAGATTAAAATCAGAAGACCAAGGACCATTGTCCCAACCCAGTAACCAATCCATAGAGAAACGCTAGCACTCTAAGAGAACTGGACCACTATTCCTACCACCCTCTTTGGAGGAACAATACAGAGAACAATTGGGAGGAAAGGCACTGCGATTGCATTCAGGAGTGCATTCTGTTCTGTGTTCATTTGATTCATTTTTAAGAAAGTCAAGCGAAAGGGTACAATTTAAAACACTGGAAATTATGTAGGAAGTAGTTGCAAGATGTCTGACAGCTACAAGCTTGACCTTTAAAAATGTATAATTAAAGGAGGGAAACCTGCAAACAGACAGCTAAGAAAAGCCTTTATGATGTCAATGCATGCCTCAAGACTGGACTTCGTGATGCATTGCCAACAACTTAAATTTCATCCCATGAGTCTCTGGAATGGTTTTATTTATCCAAGGAATAATCCGTAAAGAATTGGGAATTTTTATTTAGCCTGGTACTACAGTAGAGGCAAAATTTGGGGTAAAAGTCAAATCAAACAACTTACTAGCTGTAGAGAAGATCAGGAGATGAAGTAGTCACGAGGATCCCATTGAATCACTGTCACGAAGGATGAACTTACTGTAGTAGCCTCTTGCCTTGCAGTGGTGGCCACATCCTGTGGGCCTGGCTTCAGGTGTTTAGACATTATAAGAAAGAGAAGGGCTGGCTTACTCTCTGGGATTGTGCTGAGAGCATCGGAAGGGCAGAGGCTTCATCTTCTGGAGGAGGAAGAGTGTGGCGGTTATTTACTATTATTTTTGTGTAAATGCTTCTCTCCCTAATCAATACTTTTTTATCACTTACCTTGGGCCTTGTGGACTCATTGTAACCATGCCTTCAAACATATTTCTGCCTAATTTTTCATTGTCTAAAGGGTAACACTGGATGTTTCCCACACGTAGAAATTAGGTTTCTGTGAAGCTGAGAAAACAATGCCTTAAGTAATTAAAAATATTAGTAATGCTTAAAGCAGAACTTATGTTCTCCAGCTCAGTGAAGACAATCAATGAAGACTTATATGATATAAAATAACTACTTTGACAAGAAAATATGAGAAAGTATTCAACTTCACAGGGAGAAGATAGAAGATCTCCTTAGAAATAAGCAAAGAGTTAACAAAAATTTAGAATAGAGATTTATTCTCAATCACATGTGATAAAATAATAGAATGGTTTTATTCCACAAGATGGAAAAGATGCTACATGTTTCTTCACAACTGGAGAATTAATAAAGAGTTTAAAACTATAGCAAAGAACTGCAGAAGGGATTGTTGAAAAGCATAATTGCTGAAAGTCAATTTCACTACACCACAAGTTTTAAGCAATTAGAATAATATGTTAAAAATTCAATGAGTAACAAAACAAAACCAGGAACTTCCAGAGGAAAGATCTGTAAACTTTAAGGCAGATACATGTCATATATATAGTAAACAGACAAAAAAATTAAGGATTAACAGAGCTCATTCGAAATGTGAAACATTAAATACATGAAATTATTATAGCAGAAATGTCAGAGTAAAAGAGAACACAAAAATATTTACATGGAGCTTTTCGCCAAGATGGTACCGAAAGCAAAGAATGAAGCTCCTGCCCCTCCCAAAGCTGAAGCCAAAGCGAAGACCTTGAAAGCCAAGAAGGCAGTGCTAAAAGGCGTCCACAGCTGATAACGTTTTCATTTTCCTAAAAATGGTGAAGTTCATCCATTGCAGTTGGGATTTTCTGGCATTGTAAATTTTTCCAAATATGGGAAAATGTACTCTAATTTGTGGTAGTGACTGAACTGCAATCACATGCTTTCCTAAAAATAAGAGAGAAATTAAAAGATGGAAAAAAAAGGAAGGATGGGCAGGAGTGGGGGAGGGAGGATGGGAGAAGATAAAAGAAAGAAAGAAAGAAAGAAAGAAAGAAAGAAAGAAAGAAATCTACAGAGAGAGATCTGGGAATTACTTCTGCAATTAACAAATTAAATGTAAATCGGTACTGTAAATATCCACAAAGGTTTATCATTTTCAAATAGTAATAGCACAAAGAAGTACTTTGAGTCAAATTAAAAGAGAGCTGAAGGCTGGAGAGATGGATCAATCCTATAACCTATAGGATCACTCCTATAACCTGGAGGATCGATCCTATAACCTGAGTTCCATTCATAGAGCATACATGGTTGAGGGAGAATCCCACAAAATGTTCCCTGATCTCCACCAGCATGCCATGGCAACACAAACACACAACCATTTTTTATCAAAACCTTTGAATATTCAGAAAACAGTTACCAGCTGACTTACCATCCCAAAATACTCAAAAACATTCCTTTAGTATGAAAATATGCAGTACCAAGTAATCAATTCTTTCTCATGGGAAAAGGTAAAGGTGAAAATATATATTGTAAAGTTTGATGTTCAAGGTCACATGCTTGCATACATCTGTCCTTAGTAAATTATTCAAAAATAAGTTGTTTTAAAACAATAAAAATAAATATGTTTTCTTATATACTGAAAAATGTGCTACCTTTTATAGGAACAGAAACAATATTACACAAGGTAATGGAAAGAGCATGCAATAGCAATTTCACTGTATAAAAATAATTGACTATGAGCTTTTATTTACAGTTATAAATAAATGTATAGAATTGTGTCATTCTCTCAACATTGCTACATGTAAAAAAAATGCATACATACAATAATTATTTAAATGTACTGTTTGGGTTTTTTTATTAATACAAACATATGTAAAAACAAACATTAACCACATAAGACTATTTTATAGAAAGAATAGTTCCTTCCTGGGATAGTAAAACATAGTTATAAGAATTGTTTTCTCTGCATGATATTGCTGCATGCTAATATATACACATATATAAATATAGAAATTAATTGTTTTATATAAATATGAATTCAATATAAGTGAAAGACATGAACTAAATAATACCATGGTATATGAAGAGTCCTTTGGATTATAAAGTAAATTTGAAATAGATTACAATAAAATGTTAGTTGTATGCAGTGCAATAACTGTTAAGTAAATGAAGTATTAAAGCTGGAAAATGGTGCTGTTGGCTAAGTACATACCTTTCGAGTATGAGAACCGCAGTTTGGACAATCAATATATAAGTAAATGCCTAGGGAAGTTCCTTGAGTATTATTCCAGCAATAAATTTGGTGGATAAGAAAGCATGTATGTGGCTTTCTGGCCAGTCAATCCAGCTAATCAGTGAGTTTCATTTTATGAAAATCATAAGGAAGGGAAGTGATTTAAGAAGATTCCTATCTTTGGACACAGGCCTCTGCATACAAGCACACCTAAATATACATGCCTATCCACATATAAATGTTCATTTACATGCCAAAACATGCATGCACGGCAATCATTTAAAAGATTAATTGTTACATCAGAAAACAGGAGTATCTTAAAAACAACATTCTGTGAAGCTATCAACATAAAATTTATAAACAAGGAAATATACACATGTTGAATAACTCTAACCTAAAAATTTGAAATCTAAAATGTTCTTGTGGAAAACTCCACAATCTGCTTGTATGGGAGAACACAATTAAAATGTAGGCATAATAAATATAATGTATAACATTAAAAACACTATTCATGCATAATGTGTTTATGAAAATCCATAAATATTTTAGTTGGATATAACTCCAATTACCAAAATAATTCACTATGTATATATAAATATTCCAAGACATAAAAATGTCTGAAATCATAAAGGTCATGAGTGTTGTAGATAAGGATGCTAAGTCTGCAATTAGAGAAAAGTTGGTTGCATTGGACTTAGAGGAGTTGGCTTGAGTGCTGTTGGAGAGACAACAAATTGATATGGAGTACCTATGTGTTTAACAAATACGCTGTGAAACTGACATGTTAATGCTTGTAAAACCGAACATATAATAAACTACATAACCTCATGGTGTGATCTCTTATTCACTAAGGCTATCACAATTTACATTTTATACTTACAAATTCTGTTTTGTAACATTCTCTTTGAAATTGCTTAATGCAACATATGACATAAGATGGAAATTAAACCCACATCAAATGAAAATTTCATGTAAAAACATATTTATATGCTGTCCTTTTCCTGTACATCATGATTGTGATTGACCTATTGATTAAAAATTTGAAAAATCATCCTATATTAAATAAAAAATACATCAACATTTGTTTAAATGTAAGACTATCTGGCTAATACAGATAAACATGTTATGTGTATTAAATTAAAGTCTTTCTGCTGTATGTTGCAGACCAATTTTATTTTAGGTTGGAAAAAATAGAAAATATCTGTCACCATGGTGTCTAGTTATCACACTGAACTTCCTCTCTGAAAGAAGCAATCTGCAGAAGAGGTTTGTTAATTGTTAACAAAGAAACCTCTCACAGTCAAGCTGCAGACATCTGTATATACTACTTTTTATGTCTCCTCTGTGGCAAACACAGTTGACTATTATTGAAAGGTCAAGGAGAAATAGGTATTTACACACAAGGGGATTGGAGAACAATGGAGTCAAATGAATTGACCATGGTGCACAAAACAGAGAATCGAGAAGTCATTAAATGACTTGATGTACTCCTCTCGTGGGACTCCTTCACTGAGGAAAACAAATAAATGACTGTTACGTAAAAGGCTATTTATTCCAAGTAATATAAATCTCTTAAGGTAATCCATTCACCCTTATATCAAATTGAAAAGCTCATTATCTCTCACAGAGATTTAAATGTAGTTTTGGATGCTTCTATTATCTGTCAACACATTTAAAAATAAATGAATTATAATTAAGGATGATTTAAGTGGTTATCATTTTTGATGCTGTATGTCTTAAGAGTTCCTTTTGTCTATTGAAATATTCATGCAAATTAATTCAATAGATTGTAGGATAGAAATGAGACCATATAAAGTTTTATCATTTCTTACTGTAATTGTACAGCCAATGTATTCTCTTTTTCTGAAGTGTTGCTGTTCTAGTCTAAATCCTGAGTCACTATTACTAAATTTAGTTAATAGTAGAGAATATATATAAGTAACAGAATGGCAAACATTATTTGTACTAGTTATTCCACAAGCACAGATATGCTATCGTTCTCAGTTGTTGTGAGAGGATATTTGTTTATATGACCTTCAGCATGTTATAACTATTACTCATTCAACAATATGAATCCCACTACGTTAGACATTTTTAAATTCATGTTCATTACTATTTCAATTGCTGCCAAACCTACGCTTATTTATGCTATGTTCCAATCCATCCAAACCCTTAAGATTGTCTATATGGACCATACTAAGTAACTTTAAATGTTTCAATTGAGAAGCTCCTATTGTATCACAGCTTAAATATTCTACAGTACAAGATAATTCACAAATACAAATACAAATACAAATAAAAACAAAAACAAATACAAATAAACTCATAATATAGAAGATGTTTTCTGCAGCCAATGTTAACAAAAATATTCCACTTCTGTATTAAAACTTTGTGAATATTCAATCGGAGAGGTCGAACATGATAAAGATCATGAGCCAAAATGGGCAAAAACTGAGAAGAAATGATTTTAGGGAGCAGAAAGTATATGGAATAGGTAGGGTGTTAGGTGGGGGTGGGGCAGTGGAGGAAGGGAGGGAGAGGGAACTGGGATTGACGTGTAAAACAATCTTGCTTCTAGTTTTTAAAAAATGAAGTTAAAATTGTTTTTTGAAAATGTATGGAGGTAAAGTATTTAATATTAAGTAAGATCATACAATCTCAGACGGAAAAATATATGTTCTTTCTCATATGTGGAATTTAGAATGTTTATCTATATCTCCTTATATGCATTGTAGATGATATATGTATGTAATAATGTATACCAATGTCCAAATTGGAATGGTGCAAAAAAATTAAGGAAAGCTAAATATAAGAGAGTGGGATAACTCTGTTGCAGGAAATGGTCATGAGTGATGAAAGAGGATGAAAGGCTAATTTGGGGGACATTCTATTTCCAATATGACATTGATAATTTGGTTTTAGTGGCAAAAAGTAAATAAAATATATCCAATATTTGGGGTAACATGTTATGTGAAGCTCTACAACTTCCGTTCCAAGTGCCTAGTTTTAATGTTCATTGAGTTGCACCAGTTTTGTGATGGGTTAATTTTGGTATTTATTTATTTATTTATTTATTTATTTATACTAATAAAGTTTATAGAATTTTTAAAAGAAAACTGGGAATTGAAACAATCTGAAAGTTTAATTAACATTCTAATACTTTATTCTTATTCTCATCATGTCATCACAATTTTTTATCTCAAATGTATTGTCAAATAAAGGTGATTCATATATTTTATGAAATTTTATTAGTTATTTTTTTGTTTTTTGATACAGGGTTTCTCTGTGTAGCTTTGGAGCCTTTCCTGGCAATAGCTCTGGAGACCAGACTGGCCTCAAAGTCACAGAGATCAGCCTACCTCTGCCTCCTGAGTGCTGGGTTTAAAGGCCTGTGCCACCAATGCCCTACTTATCAGTTATAAAATGAAAATATTGGCATTAAAAGGCAGACAATAGTTATATCTAGTGAATTATCCTGAGATAAACTTCCAGCATGGTTCTTGCTATACAGGTCTTGCTATACAGGTTCTTGCTATACACTTGTTTGGTTAGTATTACCCCAAGATATTTTATTTTGTTAGATGCTATTGTAAAGGGTGATGTTTCTCTGATTTCTTTCTAAGCACATTTATCTTTTGTATATAGTAGGGATACTGATATTTTTTAGTTAATCTTGTATCCTGTCACTTTGCTGAATGTGTTTATCAGCTGTAGGAGTGCCCTGGTAGAGTTTTTCAGGTCACTTATGTAAACTATCATATCATCTGCAAACAGTGAAAGTTTGATGACATCCTTTCCAACTTGTGTCCCCTTGACCTCCATTTGTTGTCTTATTGCTCTAGCTAGAACTTCTAGTACAATATTGAAAAGATATGGAGAGTTGTCTTGTCTTGTTACTGATTTTAGAGGAATCACCTTGAGTTTCTCTCCATTTAGTTTAATGTTGGCTGTTAGTTTATTATATATTGTTTTTATTATGTTCAGGTATGTTCCTATTATCCCTGATCTCTCCAGGACCTTTATCATGAAGGGGCGCTGGATTTTGTCAAAGGCTTTTCAGCATCTAGTGAGATGATCATGTGGTTTTTCCTTTTGCAGTTTGTTGTATATGATGTATTACATTGATGGATTTTCATATGTTGAACCAACCCTGCATCTAGGGGATGAAGCCTACTTGATCATGGTGGACAATTTTTCTGATATGTTCTTGGGTTCAATTTGCCAGTAGAAGATACCAGAAAATGGAAAGATCTCCCATGCTCTTGGATGGATAGGATCAACATAGTAAAAATGGCAGTCTTTCCAAAAGTAATCTACAGATTAAATGCAATCCCCATCAAAATCCAGCAAAATTCTTCACAGACATTGAAAGAATAATTCTCAACTTTATATGGAGACACAAAATACCCAGGAAAGCCAAAACAACTCTGTACAATAAAGGTTTAAAGAGAAATCGGTACTAGGGATATGTCCAGTGTTCTACAAGGATGACACCAACTAAACATCTAAGTATAGGGGATGCTGTAGCCACACCTGCTTAGGGGATGGCTACAGGTGTGCCTGACCATTTCTTTGAGGGTATGGTCAGGGTGATGTAGGGAAAGTTTAAGAGTGAGGGATGCTTACATGGTGGCCCCTGCTTTTGCTTTCATCTTAGGTTTGCTGTACCTACTGCTGCCCTGCCAGCTGGCTACATCCTTTTAAATTCCCTTGTATTTTTACCTGGCTCCGTATTGGTAATTTCCCACATTATCTAAGTGACAGTGGAGAGGCTACCTTAAATGCCCTTCCTTGATAATGAGATTCATGATTGACTTATGTGCTATCCTAGAGCCTTCATCCATCAGCTGATGGAAGTAGAAGCAGACAGCCATAGCTAAACACTGATCTGAACTGGAATCCACTTGCAGAGAAGGAGGAGTGGTGAGCAAAGAGGTCAAGACCAGGCTGGTAAAAACAACAGAAACAGCTGACCTGAACAAGGGGGAGCTCTTGGCCCCTAGACTGATCACTAGAACACCAGCATGGAACTGATCCAGACCCCAAAAATGTGGGTGTCAGTGTGGAGGCCTCAGAAATCTATAGGACCTCTTGTAGTAGATCAGTACTTATTCCTAGCATAGGAATGGACTTTGGGAGCACATTTTACATAGAGGGATACTCCCTCAACCTAGACACATGGGGGAAGGCCTAGGCCCTATCCCAAAGCATTTGACAGACTCTGAAGACCCCTTATGGAAGGCCTCAACCTCCCTGTGGAGGAGAAAGTTTATGGGATAAGTAGGGTGTTAGTTGGGTCGAGGGAGAGGGAACTGGGATTTACATGTAAAATAATCATTTTTCGAATTTAAATAAAAAACTTATAGCATGGTGATTAAATGCATATACCTTGAATTCAGCCAGACTGGATGTTTACTTTAAATCTTGAGGATTATCCCACAACTTACCCACTCAGTAGCTTGCTTTGTTGTTGTTGTTCTTGCAAATATATCATATCCATACTTGATGCTTTCAGGTTCTTTTGGGGGACTTCTTTATGAAATGATACATCAGCACTGATCACTATCAATGGTTCTCTTGCAATATGGCAGAGGAGCAATGTAACCCCCAAAATATTTGGGAATAGTCAAAGATATTTTTATAGTTATAATTAGCAAAAACTAAGTGATGAGAGTTACAGACACTGGCACCTGTTTTATTCTCCAGGAAGATATTGAATACACTTATGTCTTACAAGCTATCACCTAAGGATGGAAATTTATATGGTCACTGTGGGAGTCATTCCTCCTTTGGGAAGTTCATATCTAAGTCATCTGGAGAGTTTTATACCTTTTTGCAATGAAGGAATACTGAGAGCCTTAGAAATAGTCTTCTCCCGGGAAGAGCACACCAATGGATTATCCAATATCAAATGGTCCACCCTGAAAAAAAAGTATGAGTACCATACAAATGCACAGCCTATACAAGGGTGTGTGTACATATATATGCATATATATGTGTGTATACATATATTCATCTAACAACAAGTAATGAAAAGGATGAGACCATGAGTTAGAAATAGAACAGGGATAAGTATATAGGAAGGTTTGGAGGGATGTAGAGGAAAAGAGAAATGATATTATAGTATCTCAATTACAAAAGTCATATAAAGATCAGGTTCTGAGATGTTCTTACCAATGAAACAACAGGAATTATGTCACACTGAATTTGTAGATGGAAGAAGATTCTCTAAATCAAGGAGGTGCATAACCTTCACAAATATATAGGGCAAGAAATCTGATTACACTTTATTTCTGAAAAGAGATGACACCACAAATTTCACTGACTCCACAAATGTATCCATCCTGGTGGGACCCATGACAGAACATTATATAACTGTAAGGAAATAGATTTATATTGATTTAAGTGCACTATATTTTTGGAAGTTTATTATAGTAGCTATAGACAAAAACACACTGGTAAAAGCCCAAATTAATGGGAAGTTCTGGTAATCGGGTGCTACTCAATAACTTACGTTCTTCTGGTCTGAAATAGAATTCCGTGGGTTGGGCACTTCCCAGGCTAAAGAGTGGTTGTGATTACCAAAAGTTAATTTCAACATTGATCAAATAAATTTAAACAACCTTGGCTTTCTCAGTCTCAAAAGCTTTATGTATCATTTTTTACATTTATATCAAATTTAGTCTAAGCTTGTTCAAAATAATTGCAAAAAGAAAACCAATATGAAAATGCTTTGCTATGCCTAAATGCTTGGTAAGTGCCCCTTCTGCACATTTTTTTTTCCATTTAAAACATAGTTACATCATTTCTCTTCTCTTCCCTCCTTTCTCCAGTCCCCAGCCTGACTCCCTTGTTCTCTCCTAAATTGACAGCTCTTCTTGAACCATTTTCATCACACAGGCATATAAATAAATCAACATATAAATGTAGCCTTCTGAGTCCTGTAAATCCCTGGTTTCCAGGGACAACTACTTAGTATAGGATAGCCAGTCAGGGCTCATCTTCGGGGAAAACTAATTCTTCCTCCCTCAGTAATTGCTGATTGTTAATTGTTACCTCTTCATCCAGGTCAGAAGCCTGTGAGATTTCCCCCATCTACACTGGCATGTCAGCTATAAACTATAGTGGGAAATTACCAATATGGAGTCAGGTAGAAATATAAGGGTATTTAATAGGGAAAAGCCTTACTTACAGAGCAACCTAGCCAGCCGGTGTGGCAGCAGGCTGTACAGCAAGTACCAAAGTGAAACCGAAAGCGCAAACGCAGTCACACTACGTCACTCTGACCACGCCCTCACAAGCATGGTCAGGCACACCTGTAGCCAGCCCCTAAGAAGGCGTGGCTACAGCTTCCCCTACAATAAACCATACACAAATGGGGGAGGACTAGCAAGAATTAATAGAGCTCTGATAAAATTCAAGGGAAGTGAGAGTTTCTTCAAAATGTATCCCGATTCTAACATTTTAAACAAAAATTGGGGGCAGATAAGAGAGACAATAGAAATTATACTTTTTTCTTACTTTATTAGCCATTATGTACTGGGAAATGGTTTATACTGTTTGGAAAGTTGATACATAGGTGAATAGATGGATGAATAAAAGAATAGATTGCAGTTGATAAGTAGTAGGTAGCTGATAGATGATAGATAGATAGATAGATAGATAGATAGATAGATAGATAGATGAGGTTTGTAAATGATTGAGGATTCCAACCTTAAATGCAAAAGATTGACCACATGGAGACTGAGGAAAGACTTATTAGACCCAAAGTATTCTGCATAAAAACCATCCAATCCCAGGGTGCAGATAAATTCTGATAGATTACTGGATAATTTTCCCTTGCTTGACAATGATCAACATTTTGATTCTTAAACTGTAACTAATTAATTGATAAGGACCAACCACATAATAAAAGTTAATATTTTTGGTTCAACATTCACTAACTTCCATGTAAAGTCATACATACACACAGAGAAACATCCAGAACAATGTCTGATTGATTATCTGGATATAGTTGTATTGATGCATCAATTTAACCAATACACTACTCTGTGTACAATGCTGCAAAAACAAAAAGTGCACCTGTGGCTTATCAATTAACATTGCCAGCCTACTATGTAACTATTCAGTATTAACTATGAAAACTTCCAAGTAATCATTTGGAGGATACTTTAAACAACAGATGGATTTTCCCCACAGAGCACTGTATAACTTGAAAACCTTCCTTGCTTCAAATAACAAACTTGAAGGATTACTATCAAGGAAATTAGTCCATCTGACCTTACTCTTCAGATTATTTTCCACAGGGCTTATTTTTTTCTGAAGTGCATTATCTTTCTTAAAATGAAAGGAAAGTGTTCCAATTAATTACATTTCTTTTCATTCTAGTTCACTGTGCTTTTTTTTTCTTTCTTTTCATAGCCACATGCTAATTTTCCACTTCAGTGAGAATAAGACAAAATTAATCTGTTCCTTATAAAAAGGTACAAAATTAACTAAGTATTGCTTTTCCTATTAAAAGATACACTCTCTTAAGTATCCCCAATTTTCATTTATTGCAAATTAAAATTCAAGGATCATGCAACAACCAAGTTTTTACTTACATCATTCTCATTTATTTGAGCAGCTATATCATTTGCATGCCTGTGAATTTTTTGGTAGTCCAAAGTAAGTAAATGCTATGCTACCACAGTTTGACCACAATGATAAATTCACAGCATACACCCATCTCCAGATTACTGCCTCTTACGCTATTAATTAAGTCCCTTTTCTTGGTTTGGTCACAACTCAATAAATAAAAATGCAGTTCTTCAGTTTGCCAAGTTCCAACTTCCAGCTTAAGACAATTCAAATGAAGAAGAAATATTTGTCCTTTCCTAAGTTAAATATCATAGCATAATCAATTTTATATTTGAAAACAAGACACAGTTTCTGGTAAATGGGTTGCTCTGCTTGAAAGTCAATATGTTTATCTTGAACTCAGCAGGATTTAGAGCCAATTTTAAATTATTAATTTCAGCTTTTGCTCTACTATCTTGACCATAATAGAATCAGCGAGGGCTGAAGCTATTCTGCATATTTTGCATAGTTGATAGTAGTTACACCTACTCAGCTATTGCTATAGATCTCACGCAAAATGAAAATTTAAATTTTTTTAACATATCTTTATTGATTCTTTATGAATTTCACATCATACACCCTAATTCCTGTCATCTCCCAATCTGCCCATATCCTCCTCTCACCCTCGAAAAAAACCCCGCAAAAGAACATTTTAAAAAATCAAACCACAACAAAACATATAAAGCAAACAGACAAAAAACAATAACAAACAAAACAAAAAACCCTTATTTTATCCATCTTTCATGCTTCTCCCACACCTCTTCTTTTGTTCTGGTGGCATTGAGAACAGTATGTCACACAGTATACACTTTTGTCCAATCAGCTTTGCTAGCAAACTTTCATTGCAGAGAGTCATGGTTCTGGTTCAAGGCCTTTGCTTTATGGTACATTATCATCATTGGATCCTCACTGACACTCCTCTTAGCTATCCTGAGCCTGACCTGAGTCATGGAGATCCTGCAGGTTTCATTCCACAGGAGCAGTCCCTTCATGAGGGCCTGGGTGGTACCTGAGTTAGTCAGTCCAGGCCACCAGGGCCACAAAACTCAGGCAAGTGGGAGAAACCTGCTCCCCTACCCCATGCTCTCAAAGTCAGTTCTCCTTCACCTGTGATGAGGGGTGGGTCTGTCTTTCCAGAGTGTGGGGTCAGCTATCCTGTGAGCATCATGGCCAGTTTTCTTGTTGCAGTATCCAAAGAGAGAAAGGCCAGCTTTCCATGGGCCAGAGAAGGATGGGGCCAATTCAGCATTGCTCTCTGTTTTGATCACACAATGGCTCCTATGGTCTCCTGAGCTGACACAGGCCATAGACCTCACCGCAGACCCCAGCTGTAGCTGGACCATGGACGCAGACATTGCCCTTGAAAGTAGCTCATGCATGGAAAACAACCTGGCTCCAGCAGGAAACACTGGCCACTGAAATCAGGATGGCTCTCAAGGTGGCACAGATTCCCAGTAACCAACAAGGGTACAGGTTGTGGCCCTATCCCCAGCTTCTGTGTTACTTTTGGTGGCAACGCGGACCTCTGACTTCAACACAGACCCCAGCATCCATAGGACCATGAACACAGACATGGTTCTTGGTAGCAGCCTGGTTTGGATGTGTGGCAGTGAAAGCTACTCAGATTGGCATAGTCTCAGCATCACTGTGGCCCTCAGACAATGACACAGAGCTGTTCATGAGTCTTTCTTAGTCTGTCCATGTATTTGGTTTATATTACTTTATACAAATATGTAAATTTGCTAAGAGCATTTAATGATGTACTATCATTTGGGTGGATACACTAACAGAAATATAGTATTTGAAAACTCTAGAGACTAGAAGCCTTAGATTAATGTTTTAGCTATGTTGTTTCTTCTGAGGCTGCACTCCAGGGTTTGTCCAATGTATCTTTCCCTCCTCCACCCTACCCCCCACCCACAGTCTTCAGTCTGCAGGTTTTCTGTAACTTGGTCTATTCTAAAAAGCATGCTGAACTATGAATTTATTTAATAGTAATCATATTTCTAGGAACCCTGTCTCCAAATAAAGGACAATGCTGATATTCTGGGGAGCTCCAGCTGAACATATAACTTTGAGGAGATGACTTTTTAGAGCTTCCAGATGGTTATCTCTGCTCTGAAAATATGGTTCTCATTAAATTCAAGTTTGATGTAACTGGAACAAAGGGTATCCCCAGCACAAACAAGTAATAAACCCACACACCATTCATATACAATGGAAAGATAGTCTTGTGAAGGTGAGAGTTACACTATTAAAACTAAAGATAACATCATAAGTAACTCTCTAGACATTTAAGAACAACTTTGTGTTATGTTATCATTTATAACTATTGATCTATGAATTAAAAAATGTTTCATTAGTATAATCATTAATACAGACAAGTATTTATCTATAGAACATTCAGCAATTTATACACGTCCTACTTGGTAAATGTGATTTTCTATTTTTAATAGAAATACTCTGTAAAACACAGAGCCAACTTTAGATGAAGGGGATGACATGAGAATTCTAAGAAGTGGATGAAAGGCTTCCTTTTCTTAAATAAAACCTCAAAAATGCTCATGCAAGCAACCTTAATTCAGTCAGGGCACACAAAGAAGAAAAACACAAGAAAATAGGAGGATAAGTTAAGGTATATGTGATTAAAATACCATAAATTTCAAAAAAAAATTATAAGGAGACATTGTGCTACCAGACACTCCAGGGATATAGAAGGAATTAATTTTCACACCATTATAAAAACCTCATGGCAAGTTTTGACAACTGTGTTTGCAATTCTCTTCCCCTATAATGAGATTGATTTATACCTTTGTTACCATTCCTAGAAACTTCATCCAGTAGCTGTTCTAAGCAGAAACAGGCACCCACAGGTAAGCACTGAACCATACTCCTTGAATCCAATTGTGGAGAAGGAGGAGGGATGAGCAAAGGAGCCAAGATGGTGCTGCAGAAACCCACAGAAACAATTGACCTGACCTAGTGAGAGCAGGAAGACCCTATTCATAAAGCTGGGGAATCAGCATTGGACAGAACCAAGTCCTCTTGAATGTGGGTGCCAGATAGGAGGCCAAGACAGTCTATGGGACCTCTAACAGTGGAGCCAGTCTTTAACCCTAGAGCACAAATGGACTTTGGGAGCCCATTCCCTATGGAGGGATACTATTGCAACCCAGATACAGGAAGGAGGGCCTAGTCCCTCCCCAAATTGATATGACAGACTTTGAAGATGCCTGGTGAAGGACCTCACTATCCCTGGGGATGAGTTTGGGGATGGGTTGGGGGGGGTTGTGGGAGAACTTGGGAGGATGTGAGGGGGAGGGGATGGGGGATGGATATGTAAATATGAGTAGTAATTAAAGAATTTAAATAAAAAAGCTTTAAAAAAGAAAAATGTAAAAATTATAGATAATTTCATATTCTAACTAATTGAGGTAATGAAATTTGATAATAAATTGCTTAAACTATTTTAACCCAGTCACATAATATTTATTTTTATATTCTGCAAACTCAAAGCATCTGTATAAGACCATAGTGTTAATAGGCATAGATATATAGCTAGGACATTCAATGAGAAGTATGGTAATCACACAAGATTGCATGCCACTGGA